CCCTCCCCCTCTAGAGGATCCCTCACCCTTCAGAGGATTACCTCCCCGACTGGGCCATTTTTTGCGTTACTTTAACTGACAATTGCGCAGTCATGCAACGCTGCACCCAAACGAAATGTACGTCCTTTTTTCCCCATGAATTGAGCTTTTTGTCAGTGGTATTTGATCACCTGTGCATTTTTTTTTTTTTTGTGCTATGAAAAAAAAAAAGGCCCGACAATTCTGAAAAAGAAAAAAATCTTTTTTACTTTTTGCTATTAAACACGTCCAGTAAAAAAAATTTAAAAAATCAAATTTCGTCATAAATTTAGGCCAAAATGTATTCTGTGACGTCTTTGCTAAAAAAAAAAAAAAAAATCCCAATACATGTAAATTAATTGGTTTATGTGAAAATTACAGCATCTACAAATGGCGGGATAGATACTGGATTTTTTTTTTTACTTGGTGTCACTGACATCCCCAGTGACACCAATACAGTGATCAGTGCTAAAAAAAAAAAAAAAAGCACTGACACTGTACTAATGGCACTGGGCAGGAAGGAGTTAACATGTGGGGCGATCAAAGGGTTAACTGTGTGCTGGGAGTGTTTTACTAGGGGGCGGGGTCTGTGTACTTCACTGTAAGCACACTGCTCTGGATGGCTGTCCACTCAATAGCAGAATTACCGCTACAGGGCGGCACGGGTGCACAAAATCATGTGTATATATACGTGATTTTGCATTTCTGGGTAGGACCATTTGTGGCCATCAATCACCGGGTCCCAGCTGGTGACTACTTGCCAGGGCCCGGTGATTGCTGAGCATCTCTGAGGGGGTGAGGGGAGAACCGTTTGTAAGCAAACCAGTTCTCTCCCTTGTCAGCGCATGCACACTGCTTTGGATGGCTGAGCACAGCAGAGCCATGCAAAGCAGCGTGCTTACAGTGAAGCACACAGACACAGGGCATAGTAACACAGCACACAGTTAACCCTTTGATCACCCCTCATGTTAACCCCTTCCTGCCCAGTGCCATTAGTACAGTGTCAGTGCCTTTTTTTTTTTTTTTTTTTTTTTAGCACTGATCACTGTATTGGTGTCACAGGGGATATCAGTGACACCAAGTCAGTCCCCCCCCCCCCCCCCAGTGTCAGAATGCCCGCCGCAGTCATGCAATAAGTCGCTGATCGCCACCATTACTAGTTAAAAAAAAAATTCTAGTATCTATACCGCCTTTTGCAGATGCTATAACTTTCACGTAAACAAATTTACACGTAGCAGGATTTATTTTTTTTTAGCGAAGACAGGGAGCAGAATACATTTGGGCCGAAATTTATGACAAAATCTGATTTTTTAATTTTTTTAACTGGACATGTTTAATAGCAAAAAGTCATAAGTATATTTTTTTTCTCAAGATTGTCACATTTTTTTTAATAGCTTAAAAAATGAACGGGCGATCAAATACCCCCGCCAAAAAGCTCTATTCGTGGGAAAGAAATGACAGAAATTTAATTTGGGTGCAGCGTTGCATGACTGCGCAATTGTCAATTTAAGGTAACGCAGTGTAGTAACACAAAAAAATGGCCTGGTCAGGGAGGGGGGGAATCCTCAGATGGCCGAGTGGGGGGAGAATCTTTTGGAGGGGGAGGGGGGGGGAATCCTCAGGAGGGGGAGGGGTTAATAACCTCTTCATAGCAAAAGTTATTCTGTGTGTACAGAAGAGGAAAGAACATATAAATTGGTAGGAGGGAGACATCTAGTGGCTGACTTCATATATGACACATTCTAGTCCTGTTTTCTATGAGGATGAAAGACTGCAGCTGCTGATTATTGTAGCTGCTTAAAGGGTAACTCCGCTCTCAAGTGAAAAAAAAAAAAACCCATATATAACTGCTATGCAATTCATATGCTAATTAAATTCCTTTTCACACAGCAGCAGCTGTATTATTCTGTAAAATGCAATATGGCAACCTAGAGGTGTTCCGTACGCAGATGGTATACAGAGAGCGCCCCCCAGAAATTTAATTTCCTGCCTGTGGGATTGGCTCTCTAATTTTCCCAGACGTCTGCACTAAGATACAAGTCAGATTTTGGGCATCCCCTGCAACAAGAATGTGATTTTTGGTGAGATACTCTAAAAGGCTCCCAGGATCAGGGCCCTCCTATCCCTCTTGTATTGATCTGTATTGTTGCTGTATTGTCTCCCGTTATATTGTAAAGCGCTGAGCAAACTGTTGGCGCCATAAATCTTGTATAATAATAAAGGCAAATCAGGTCTAAAGGGATGCAGACCCCGCCACTTTCCCCAGAGCCCTGCAGGTGCAGCAGCTGATTGATAATTATAAAATCACTCCCATTCACACTCACTTTGCACATGGACACAGAAAAACAAACAGATATTTCTTCAGAGTAACAAAGGTTAGGAATCTGCAAAAACATTTGTTAAAATGTTTTTCATACATACATACTCTGCTCAAAAAAATGACCGAAACATGACATCCCAGAGGGGTTCTATTGGATTTAGGTCAGGCGAGCGTGGGGGCCATTCAGTGGTATCAATTCCTTCATCCTTCAGTAACTGCCTGCATACTCTCCCCACATGAGGCCGGGCATTGTCCTGCACCAGGAGGAACCCAGGACCCCCTGCACCAGGAGGAACCCCGGACCCACCGCACCAGGAGGAACCCAGGACCCCCTGCACCAGGAGGAACCCAGGACCCCCTGCACCAGGAGGAACCCAGGACCCCCTGCACCAGGAGGAACCCAGGACCCCCTGCACCAGGAGGAACCCAGGACCCACTGCACCAGGAGGAAGCCAGGACCCACTGCACCAGGAGGAACCAGGACCCCCTGCACCAGGAGGAACCCAGGACCCCCTGCACCAGCGTAAGGTCTGACAATGGGTCCAAGGATTTCATCCCGATACCTAATGGTAGTCAGGGTGCCATTGTCTAGCCTGTAGAGGTCTGTACGTCCCTCCATGGAGATGCCTCCCCAGACCATCACTGACCCACCACCAAAACAGTCCTACTGAACCATGTTACAGGCAGCAGAACATTCTCCACGGCTTCTCGAGACCCTTTCACATCTCTCACATGTGCTCAGGGGGAACCTGCTCTCATCTGTGAAAAGCACAGGGTGCCAGTGGTGGACCTGCCAATTCTGGGGTTCAATGGCCAATGCCAATCCAGCTCTATGGTGCCGGGCAGTGAGCACAGGGCCCACTAGAGGATGTCGGGCTCTCAGGCCACCCTCATGAAGTCTGTTTCTGATTGTTTGGTCAGAGACATTCAGACCAGTGGCCTGCTGGAGGTCATTTTGTAGGGCTCTGGCAGGGCTCATCCTGTTCCTCCTTGCACAAAGGAGCAGATACCGGTCCTGCTGATAGGCTAAGGACCTTCTACGGCCCTGTCCAGCTCTCCTAGAGGAACTGCCTGTCTCCTGGAATCTCCTCCATGCTCTTGAGAATGTGCTGGGAGACACAGCAAACCTTCTGGCAATGGCACATATTGATGTGCCATCCTGGAGGAGTTGGGCTGCCTGGAGTATAAGGGGAACCAATACAAACACAGGGAAGGCCTCAGTGCTAACCACTAAACCATGTTTTTCTAAATGTAAAGTCCAAGGTTTAAACTTCTAGGGACATGAATATTGCACAGACAGAAAAAGGCCTACAAATCAGAGGTTGTCCTTAAACACCGGGGGGCCTACAAGTACTGATCTGTGGTTGCATGATGCTTGTTGTGGAGTAATTACACCTTACAAGTCAGGCCAGACAGTAAAATGAGATCCAGAAAGACAGTATAGACAAGCCATTCTCAAACAGGGTTCTGTGGATCTCTTGGGTTTCTCCAAAGATGTTAGGGGTTTCTAGGGTTTCCTTGACCTGTCCTGCTGGTCAAGGAAAGGAGATTCTCCTGGAATCTCCTCCATGTTCTTGTGTCCTGGAATCTTCTCCATGCTCTTGAGACTGTGCTGGGAGACACAGCAAACCTTCTGGCAATGGCACGTATTGATGGGCCATCCCGGAGGAGTTGGACTGCCTGTGCAACCTCTGTAGGGTCCAGGTATGGCCTCATGCTACCAGTAGTGACACTGACCCGAGCCAAATGCAAAACGAGTGAAAAACAGTCAGAAACTACGAGTAGGGAAAACAATGTCAGTGGCCTCCACCTGTAAAACCATTCCTGTTTTGGGGGTCGTCTCATTGTTGCCCATCTAGTGCACCTGTTTGTAATTTCATTAACACCAAAGCAGCTGAAACTGATGAACAACCCCCTCTGCTACTTACCTGACCAGATCCATATCCCAGGAGTGTCATTGACTGGGATTAAAAAGTCTTCCTCTCATTTTTTTGAGCAGTGTGTAATATATATATACACTATATTGCCAAAAGTATTGACCCCGCCCTCCAAATCATGTGATTCAGGCGTTCCAATCCCCTCCTTATCATGTGATTCAGGTGTTCCAATCCCTTCCATATCATGTGATTCAGGTGTTCCAATCCCCTCCATGGACACAGGTATATACAATCCAGCCCCTAGGCATGCAGACGGCTTCTACAAACATTGGTGAAAGAATGGGTCGCTCTCAGGATTATAACAAAGTGGAAGCAACTGGAACAACAGCCACTCAGCCACCAAGTGGTAGGCCACGTCACATGACAGGGCGGGGTCAGCGCATGCTGAAGCGCACAGTGCGCAGAAGTCGCCAACTGTCTGCAGAGTCAATAGCTAAAGACCTCCAAACTTGGTGTGGCCTTCAGATGAGCCCAAGAACAGTGTGTAGAGAGCTTCATGGAATGGGTTTCCATGGCCGAGCAGCTGCATCCAAGCCTTCCATCACCAAGTGCAACGCAAAGCGTCGGATGCTGTGGTGTAAAGCACGCCGCCACTGGACTCTAGAGCAGAGGAGGCGTGTTCTCTGGAGTGACCAATTACGCTTCTCTGTCTGGCAATCCGATGGACATGTCTGGGTTTGGCGGTTGCCAGGAGAACGGTACTTGCCTGACTGCATTGTGCCAAG